CTCTTCTGTACATACCCCACAGGGGTCTATTTTACTTATCACTCGCTCCCCACCTTCCCCACTCACCATTACCTTCGTCTTACCAATATTAACTTTTAACCCTTTCTTTTCAATAACACTTTTCCATCTGTCAAATTTTAACTGCAATTCTTCCATGCTATCAGCCATCAAGACTAAATCATCTGCATACAAAATCTCAAATAACAACCCCTCCATTATGTTTCCACACAAAACATCCATCACAATTGCAAACAGAAACGGTGATAACACTGATCCTTGATGCACTCCTACCTTAACACTAAAAGCGTCCGACATGCCCCTTCCAACCCTCACTTTTGTCTTTGCCCCTTCATACAGCTGCATCACAGCTTTAACAAGTCTCTCATTCACTCCTTTCTTCCTCAATGCCCATTCAATGACCTTCCTCGGTACTCGATCAAAAGCCTTTTCTAAATCCACAAAACACATGTACAATCTTCGTTTCTTCTTTCTATAATTCTCCTGCAACATTCTCACCATGAACAACGCATCCACCGTTCCCCTACCAGGCATAAACCCACACTGCATTTCATTAACTGTCACCATACTTCTCAACCTCCTCTCAAACACCCTCTCCACTACCTTCATTCCGTGCTCTAGTAATTTCACACCCCTATATGACCCACAATCTCTCACATCTCCTTTGCCCTTATACAACGGCACCAACACACTGTGTCGCCAATCCTCAGGTATACATTCATCATCAAACATACTGTTAGCAATTCTCATCATAACTTCAATTTCTATCAGCCTACTTGCTTTTATATGTTCTGCCGCCACTTCCGAAACCCCTGTCGCCTTACCTAGTTTCATTTCTCTAACTTCTTTCTCTACTTCCTCCATCGTCACCTTCTCTATAGGTCCGTGTGTGACCGCGGATTCCACATCTCCATCCCACTCATTCTCTTCATTCATCAACCTTTCCATATGAGCTTTCCACACCTGAGCTTTTTCCTCCTCATCTATGCACAACTTGCCAGATCCATCCCATCCCAAACACATTCATTCCCTATAACATCTTTCCTATCCCTCATTGACTGCTTTGCTACTTTGAACATTTTCCTTGAACTCACATCAAATTCCATTTCCTTCATTAACCTGTCTGATGCTTTCGTCATTGCAGTTGCCACTGCCTGTTTTGCAACCTTCTTAGCCTTCCTATACTCAGACTTCGCTTCCTCCGTCATGTCCCTTCTCCATACCCTAAACCTCTTCATCCACATACTTTATCTGCCATAGCCAACACACGGTCCCTGTATCTCTCTCAAACATCTCCATCCTTACCACTCTCCCAATTTTCAGCCACCTTCACTTCAAATGCCTTCCTCACCTCTGCATCCTGCAACTTCCATGTCTTTCTCTTTGCCACAAACTTATCCTTCTTCCTCCTCCCCATTTCTTTTGATGTCACATCTATCACAACCATACTATGCTGCAACATACCAGGTATCGCCTTCACATTCTTCACATACTTCCTATGTTTATCCCTTACCAATATATAGTCTATCATCGGTCTATGTTCCCCTGACCTAATAAGTAATAATTCGTGCTGGTTCCCTTGTGACCCAAGTATTCCCCACCACCATGCTATGTGCATCCGCCAACTCCAACACTCTACGCTCTTCCTATTATTACAAAAAGTAATAATAATAACAATAAAATAAATAATAATAATTATTAAATAATAGTAATTAATTCAATTAACCAACCAGATGCTGATGACTTCAGCCTTTTACTTGAAAGTGTTTTGAGGTTTGTCATCATGGGCGGTGGCATAATTTCCTTGTCCACTGCATTCCTTCAAACAAACAAAAAAACAACAACAATAATACTATTATTGTTATTATCTGAATTATTATTATTAACTATTATGTAAAAACATTACAAACTATAATAATAAAAAGCAGTATAAACAGTACAATCACTTACTTAGATGAGTTACTAGTTGATTTGATTGATTGTAATTTACAGTCAGATGATGTAGTAGTAGGGGTAGGTGGGAACGGTGGAGGCATGATAATTTTCTCCTCTTTAGACTTCTGCAGCAATTAATTTTAATGATACTTAGATATATATATATATATATATATATATATATCAATGATACTTAGATATATATATCAATTCTAATAACTGATATTTATTCACCGACTTGAATAAATACATATATACGTCGACACATAATTTGTTAAAAATTCATCAACATGAAAAAATTTGAAATGACAGACTTGCAAAATTATACACGCATACACCAACTATAAAAATGGCAAAAGAACACATTTACTCACACACATTCAATCATACACACACACACACACACACGCACACACACAAAAT